ACTCCGCTGAAAGAAAGGCTTTTTGCTTTCTCCTTAAGGGGCACGAGGCCAGTATGAGAAGAAAGTGTGAAGCAATGAGGGAAATTAGAGAGAGCACACACATCAGGATGTATCAATACATAACAGATTCATTTCACCATCCCTAGATTATCAAGATAATTCTGTAATTTCCTCAACCATCTTGAAACTCATTTTAAATGAGTTAATACATGTAAAGCACCTGGAATAGTGCTTGGAACACAGTTAAGTGTTAAGGAAGTGTTGGCTATTAATAAAGCAAAGAGGGAGCAATCTATCCCCTTACTTATCTCTTGTCCACCACAAGACTTGACTCCTGGGAGCAGTTCTTGCTGAGCAGAATGTACCCTGATAAGAAGAAGGAGCAAGCAGGTATTTTCTTTTTTAAATAATATTTTATTGTGTTTTCAGTGGAAGTTTACATAGCAAATTAGGTTCCCATTTGACAATTTCTATATAAACTGTTCAGTGACACTACAGTAGTTACATTTTTCACAATGTGTCAACATTCTCTCTAATTGTGTTCTGGTTGTTTCATTGAGCAAGTGGGTATTTTGATAACTTATTTATCAGGAGACTGTGGTAGATGGGGTGGAAAAGGTGGAAACAAGGTTCCTATAAAAAACTATTGCCTGAAGTTTTATAAGGGCAACACTAAAGTTTAACACATCTAAGTCTTCCTTCCAAAGGGCAGTAAACAAAGAACTAAGAGGAGACATTTCTAAGATCTTTCCCTCTAGAGCAGTTCTCAAAGTATAGTTCCCAGATGAACAGCATTAGCATCACCTGCTAACTTGTTAGAAACAGAAATAAGTGGACCTCACCTCAAACTTAGTCAATCAGAAATGGAGTGGGGATGGGAGTGGGAGTGGAATCTGTGTTTTAACAGGCTCTCCAACTGATTCTGTTGCTCTAGACCAGGAGCCTGCAAACTACGGCTTGCAGGACAAATCCAGCCCTCTGCCTGTAAATAAAGTTTTGTTGGGACACAGCCACACTTATTTGTTTATGACTTGGCGATCAAATTCCGTAAAGTCAGCCATTGAAAACCCTATGGAGCACAGTTCTACTCTGATACATGAGGTCGCCATGAGTCAGAGTCGACTTGATGGCAACTGGTTTCATGGCTGCTGTTACGCTACGATGGCAGAGCTGAGTAGTTGCAACAGAGATCCTATGGCCTGCAAAGCCTAAAATCTTTACCAACTGGCCATTTCAAGAAAAAGTCTGCCAACCCCTGCTCTGACATAGACAAAGTTTTTCAGACTGCTGGTTTTACTCCTCAGGGTATAAAAACGCAGTTTCAATTTTCTTTCATTTTCTCTAGCATGCTCTCTACTAAATGGACTGGATCACACCTATTTCTTGTGCCTCTGCCCCTGGGAACCTCTGACAGTGACTCTCGATGACAATCCTCTCACACACCCATGTTACAAGATCAGTCTTTTGCCAGAGTAGATTTAGTGCATGATAATTTCTAGCTGGATGAGTGCAATGCTAGACAGAGATGAAGATGAAAGCTTACTTTGCATGAATAATTAGAGATGCCTGTTTTCCAATCTCACATCCTGAATCAGAGTTTGCCTTCTTGAAATAAACACCTTCAATAAGCTGGATATCCAAGTGCTCTGATTGGAGGCAGAAAAGGATGCAGAGCTCCTTTGCAGGTAATGCAAGAAAGGCTGCATGATCTTTCCCAAGACATTTGTTACGGGATCACTATTGAAAGACACTGTTCATGTAATTAATATAATGCTATATAAAATAATGTAATGTTACATAACATAACATAACGCCCCCTTTAACATCCTGTTTCATGAAAAGGTCTGTGTTATAGATGAATGCTAGGAAAATTAGATTTCTATTCTACCCACTGCTCAGGCAACTAACCAAACTATCAGATATATAAAAGGCTACCTACAATTTCTCTAAGAGACTAAATATCCTTCTGGTTCAAACATTTAATAACTTATTTGCTCTTTTACTAGTTATAAACTCTTCAGGCTAGTAGGATTTAATTTCTTTAACTCTCCCAGCACAGTTCTAGAACTTTACCCTTATTCATTTTTACCTAAATCAGCTGTGGTTTGGAAGAAGAGGGGAAAGAAATAAAATGATGTTATATACATACATATAACTATGATGAATGATTTTCTGTTCTCTCTCCAGGAGACATGAGAGAACTCCCTTCTTGGGAGTTCTGACTCCTCCTTAAGACAGATATTCTGACAGATTCTAAAAAAACATATTTTCCATATACTTCATAGTTCAGTGAAACTAAACCAGAATAATCCTCAGTGAAAAAAGAAATCCACACAAGAATAGCAGTACTCTGAATTCTCAAAGGAATGTGAGCTGCTGGAAGCTAATCAAAAGAATTGAAAGAACTTAAAAATGAAGCAGATCTAAAAGTGAAAGTCAGCAAAACTGTCTCTCCTTCCCCAAAGCTTCAATGTCCTACAATCATCTTTCTTTTTTTGCATTCAACATTTTAAGGATGGATATACAAAGTAAAGGGACCAACTTTCTAGATTTGTTAGAGCCATAGGCCGCACACCGGGGAAATAAGGCTAGCTGGTGATGTCTCCACTATCCATCCTCTGATAATTTGGCATTCTCAAGTCCTCTGAATGACAGAGAGTTCAGAAGTTTAAAAAGCTTCAACAAGTTTATACAGATTTAAAAAAACAAAACAAAACAAAGATACACATTTATAAATATCTGCAATTGTGATAACACAAACTGGCTTGAATTATTGCAAAGATTTTCTTAAATGAGGACATTTCTACATGGCAGAGGGCAGTGTGGTGATCAAAATGAGATGCTATATTCCATACTTTCCAAATTAAGGAGTCTAGATTTTTCTCCAGTAAAAATGACCTCAAGAACTATTTCACAAATGCCTGCACTTATAATTTCTCAGTTATAATAAGTTAATAGAATATACAGAGTACACTGTCATAGATAAAGATAGTCAAGTGATAAACTATGCTGAAGTGACAAGATATGTCTGTGAAGTAGTTGAAAAGATAAGTAAGTAAAGACACAGAGCATAATGATAACTTTTATTTAGAGGAAAAAGAACTTTGGAAAAGTCTGGCTTAGCCTCTGAGTAAATATTAATTTTGCACAAACAAATGCACACTATGTACTACATTTTTAAAAGAAGCAAATGACATGAAATCAAGCTGATAGAAGGTATTTCTGCAAGTAAGAAAATATCAAGGAAGCTCACAGAATCAATACAGAGTTAGCCCAATAACCCTACTGTTGTATATGGTAACTGATTCTATGAATAATCCTGAATCATTAAGAAAAATCTAACTCTTTACAGTCTGACCTTTTTGTGAAGTCATTCTTCCTCGGTAATTAGGGCCATACTGATATGCTAGTCCAATATACTTATGTAGTTCCCTCACATTTATACTAAAGAGTTCCTGTCACATAATAGACAATGAGTACAAAAACTCAAACTTGTTGCTGAGTTGATTCACACTCGTATCGACCCTATAGGACGGGGTAGAACTGCCTCATAGGGTTTCCAAAGAGCAGCTGGTGGATTCCAACTGCTGACCTTCTGGTTAGCAGCCAAGCTCTTAACAATTAAGCCACCAGGGCTCCATAGACAATGAGTAGGAAATCAATATTTAAATAGTGTGTAAGTTCCACAACAGCAAGGATTTTTGTGTTTATGATCACTGTCATAAAACAGTGCCTAGCACATGATAAAAACCCATTGCTGTCGAGCTGATTCTGACTCATAGCAACCCTGCAGTGATGCTATAGGACAGAGTAGAATTGCCCCATAGGGTTTCCAAGGCTGGAATTTTTACAGAAGCAGACTGCCACATCTTTCTTCCATGGAGCGGATGGTGGGTTCGAACTGTTGACCTTTAAGTTAGCAGTTAAGAGTTTTAACCAGGGCTTCAAACCAGTTTGAACCAGTTTGGTCATGGCCAACGAAGTGAAACTGGAACAGACACGAATTTTTAAAATTCGAGTGATCTGGAACCATAACCAGAATGGGAAAAATGACAGGTCAAAGCCCTGGAATGGGAGACTCCGAAGAGGCATAGTAAGTCCATTCAGGAGCCTGATGCAGGAGACTGAATTATTGGCAGGGCTGGGAGAACAACACACATTCAGAGCAGGTTGGTTGGCTGCCATCTTTGAGCAAGGCAACGCTCTTCCCAACTCTGCGCAAAATCCCAGGGGCAAAAGATTTGGTTGCTATGCAACACATACACTGCCCTTGTTTTCTAAGAGGCAGATTAAGTTTTTAGCAGGGCTTCGACCTGTAATTTCTCCCATTCTAGTTACTGTCCCAGTTCACTCAACTTCTGAAAATTCAAGTCTGTTCTGGTGTCCCACCTTCCTCAGCCATGACTGAACCGGGAAGAACCAGTTCGAAGCCCTGGCTTTAACCACTGCGTCACCAGGGCTCCTTTAGCACATGATAGGTACTCAATAAACATTTGCTGAACCAGTAAGTGTCAAACCAGAAGACTACCTAACTTATGACAATGACAATTTCTTCCAAGAAGAAGTTGCAAGTTATTTATTCCTTATTCACAAAGGATTAATATGTGCTTATGTACACCAAGTCTATGAAGGCAATGAAGTATGCATTTAGAAATAAAGATGTTTAGAATGCTAGCTTTTAGGTATCTGGGAATTAGACCTACTGGGAGGTTACTGAATTAAGATCATACACTAGAAAGAGTAAACACTACAACAGAAGAGATTCTTAGAGAAGCATTCAAATGAAAGACAGAATATCAAGCACTGGTTCAAAATCACCTTCTAGCAAAGCCATTGTTATGTCACCAGAACAGTTCTTTCATTAAAACAGACTCTCCATGAATCATTCAAGCCAGCATGGCGATGATAAAATTAGAAAAAAACAAAACTATTCCTATGTTTCCTACTGATCTTAATTTTTTTTTTTTTCTTACCAACAAAAGGATGATATCTTGAATTACCTGGTGCCGGGCTCGACTCTGGTCCAGAAGCTGCCGGGATTGAAGTTTTTGTTGTTCAAGTTGCTGCAGGGCAAAATGAAGTTGGTAACTGCCCGCAGTAGGGTGATACTTGTGCTGGGGGACCACCCCTGTTGCCTTGCTATACGCGTTGTTCTCTACCTCTCCCTCCCAGGCAAAGCCATCTGTCTGGAGGCTCCTGAAGAGAAAAGAAAGCAGATTACTTAGAGTGGTTATATGGACAATCTAAAGGAAAGGAGAGAAATGTTTCAGGTCTTTTTCCTTTACAGAACTAAACAAATCTGGAATTATGAATCTATTTACATGAAAAATTATGACTCCCCTACTAAACTATAAGTTCCTCAAAGACAAGGACATGGTCTGCTTTGCTCTCCACTCTATTCCTAGCACTTATCATAAGGCTTGGTACATGGTCAGTATACAATAAATATTTGTTGAATGTTAAACACTGAAATAGCAAATTTACTACCCTGTGATTTACACAAGGATCTCCAAGAGGAGCCCAAAGAGCTTCAAATGAAGGTTAGTAGGTTAATTTAAGGTAGAAACAGAGGCACAATCATCTTCTCTAACACCAACTACAAAAAGATAGGGGTGAATTACACAGCATTCTTGTTTTTTCTCAATCACCCATTAGTGAAGTATCTAAATCTTTTTTAGAAGCTATTTATATTTGCGCTTATGTCCCCATCACGGGATACAAAACTGGTGTGAGAAGACCCTCCTTACATTATGCTAAATTTACCTCAACAGAGTCCCGAATCAGGTCGACATTCAGTCATACACATGAGGAAGGTCAACAGCCACTGGTTAGTACCGATTCTATGCATTTGTTAAATACTTTGACTATCTTCCCAGCCCAAGTTCTTAAATTCTAGATTCCGGTAACCATGTCTGTGTACATCTGAGCTGAATTCTTCACAACTACAGGTTGCTATCTGTTCCCTCTCCATTTTTTCCAGTAGAAAATTATCTCTTTTTTTTTTAAAGAACAGTCTTCTTTGGTAGTCTTTCCATTTCCTTAACACTTTCGGTTATTCTTCTCTGGACTATAACTGCTGCGGGTTTTTTTGTTTGTTTGTTTGTTTTGAGGTGCAGTCACCAGAAAATTACACACAGAAGAAACCTTATGAAGAATCTCATAATGAACAACCTCACCCCAAACCCCCATTTATAGAACTTAAGACAAATGAAATAGTACTTAATTTAAGAGAAATGTTCATAGTGATTTATGTCATTGGACCATTGGACCATCTAGCAATCTAGATTCAGTAATTAGATATTAGAGGACTTATGTAACCATGTCGTTCATATCAGAATTCCCTCCCTGGCTAGCTACATTCGTTTTATTTTCTAAAAGCTGTTTTAATAACAAATATTCCTAGGAGGTATTTACTTTAATGTCTTCTATTGTATGTTGGAAATCGGAGCCTGTAACTACGGCCCCTTATATTGGGATAATCATGGATAGTTTCTTAGGTGTGTGTACACGAAGCAGGGGTCTGTGAATGTATAAGAAGTAGGACAGTGGGCAAGAGAAGATCAAAAAAGGGACTTTGGATGAGAGAAGATTTGTTCTTCCACCTGCACACATATCAAACAGACTGGAACATCATGAATTTTTATAGTCAAGGCTGCTTTTAATCTCATCAGTAATATAAGCTCCATCTCTAAATCACAGAAGGAAGTTTCTCAAGCAAGTATAGGCTTTTAGCAAAGAAGCAGGAATTTTTACAGTGCATCACTGGTGGGAGCAGGGAGTGCTCAGCTGTGTAAGACAATGGGATGAATGCCAGAAGAAACCTGCTTGCTGAGTAACACAGTAGGTGCTACTCAGGCCACGTATCTTACCAGGAAAGCACAAGCCTTTGGGGTTTGTAATATGCAAATACCACAATGATTGATACAGAGGAAGCCCTGTAGACTAACAACTTGGGTTTCCCCTGATTTCTAGTGCCTAAGTTTAAATAACTAAATATTCCATTCAATGTCAGCAAATAGTTTCCATTTCTAACCAAAATTCCATCCCGTTTTTTTGAACCTTGTGAAGGTTAAGATTGTGTGTCAACTTGGCTGGGCCATGATTCTCCGTGTTTTAATGTAATCACTCCCATGATTGAATATACTGTGAGTAGCCAATCAGATGAAAGGGAGTCTCCTTGGGGGTGTGGCCCACATCTGTATATAAGCAGACGTTCTGGCTTTTTGCTCTCTCTGGATCCTGTGGCTGCTTCCTGTCGTCTCATCTCCTGTTCTTGGGACTTGAGCTGTCACCTTATCTGCTGAACCTGGGATTCGTCGATCTGCACAGCCTGTGAGTGGCAGCCCTGCTCTCCGACCTTCCGATCTTGGGCTTGCCAGCTTCTGCAGCTGTGTGACTTGGGTGAGGCCTCTACCCTGATCCATGGACTTGGGACGTTCTAGCCTGTACAGTTGCGTGAGCTGTTTCCTTGATATAATCTCTCCCTACATATATATTTATAGACTTCACTGGTTTTGCTTCTCTAGAGAACCCAGCCTAAGACAAACCTCAATTCATTCTTTTTTTTACTAGTAATACACTTTCTACCCCCTCTAAAATTCTGATATCCAATCATTCTCTCTAAAATTTAGTGTTTTTATATCATTCTTTGTTCAATACTAAAATATAATATTTGTACATACTCCCTGTAAATAACTTCTAATAGTTTTATTTCTAGAATAGACCATACAGAGCCAAGAGACTTAGTTAGGGGAATGCTCAGAATGTTTAACATTTGACTCAAAGTGAACTTTGCTGTATTTTGCCTTTACTGCGTGTGTAGCTAATAGGCAACAATATGGCAAGTTTATCTGAACACTACATTCTCTTATAGCCTATCCATTTAGAACACACCTTCCGTTCTAAAGTACATGATGGCACTGCAGAACTAAATGTTTCTCTCCATAACTGCCCTTCTTGTACATACCTCTCAACCTCCAGACAATACACACTGAAGGGCAATACGCTTCCCTCTGGTTTAGCATCTGTTCTATCAAGTGGATGTTGGTTTTAAGGAACATGGAATCTGCAAAACACACTGGTCTTTAGCAAAGCAAAATCTTCTTACCAGGCTGTTGTACTCTCCATAAGGATATTCTTTCAGCATCAAGATTTCTAGAGAATGATGTGATGTCACAGTGTAGGGCAGGGATGAGGGTGAGGGATGTGATGGGCTGCACGTCGAGTAGGATTCTATAGGCCATTTCTCCAACCTCCTCCAGCCAATCCCAGGAAAACATAAGCTACCATGTACAGGGGTTCTAAACAGGTGCCCTGCCCCTCTTGGGAGTGCTTGGAAGTGTGTGGCTGTGCTTCCAATTATCACAAACCTGGGGGTGGAGGGTATTACTGACATTTAATACGTGGTAGTGAAGGAAGCTAAATGTCCAGAAATACAAGGAACATTCCTGCATTAGAAAAATGTGTGCTGCTCAAAATGTCAATGGTGCTCCTGATGACAAACACTATAAGGCCATGAAAGAAGTGCTTTCTGGGGTAAAACCCTACTATTTCTTTACAAGAAAGACTAGCCATCCACTTCCATGACACTTCCGGGACAGTGTAGCTATTCCAGGGCAGCAGAGGCTATATTTTCTTAAATTTACTCTTCTTTATAAAAACGGGACGTGAATACCTGTTTTAGGGTTGTTGTGAGGATTAAGGAGTTGATATAAGTGAAAGCATTGGCACACAGGCTGGGGAGAGAGGAGGAGTGACGTTTGAATTTCCTCTGTGAGATACCTCAGGCCTTCACTGAGTGAACGGTAGCTGCCCTCCAAAGGCTGGGGCAGAGTAGCACGTCAGAATTCCCAAAGCACAAAAAGCTGAGGGGCAAGACTGGAAAGAAAAGAAAACTCTCCAGCTGCCCAAAACGGTAATATCCAGGATGAAAAGTAGAGATCTCCCATGGTTCAGAAAGCTGTCTACAAGGCTGTAAATCATAAAAGGATCTCTAGAATCTTACTGTTAGTTTCAATCCTGTTCTCAAAACTTTTGAAGCCAGTGATGAACTAAATTTTAACTAAAGCTGCAACAAAGTCCAGACCCAGCTTAACTAGTAATTAGATTAGCTCAAACCCACCCCTCTAGAGAACCAAAACTCATTGACATCAAGTCGACCTCAACTCATGGTGGCTCCAGGTGTGTCAGAGCAGAACTGTGCACCATAGGGTTTTTAATAGCTGGTTTTTCAGAAGTAGGTATCCAGGGCTTTCTTCTAAGGCACCTCTGGTTGGACTTGAACCTCCAACCTTTCAGTTAGCAGCTGAGCACATTAACCATTTGCACTACCCAGCTGCCTGAGAGAAGAATACGCAAATCCTTTTTTGGGGTAAATATTATTTACTTAAGTCTTCAGTTATATAAAATGTCCAGCATACAATCAATAATTACAAAACACATACAGAAGTAAGAAAAGTGCGACCCATGAGAAAAGAGTCAACAGAAGGACACGACACTGAGAGATGGCACACATGTTGGATTTACTGGGCATGGACTTCAAAATAAGTATGATATATATGTTAAAAGGGTCTAGTGTAAAAGGTGGTAAACACGTATAAACAGATGGGAAATTTAAACAAAGAGATGAAATCTATTAAAAACAAACAAACAAACAAAAAAAAAAAAACAAAGAAGCAAGAATTCCAGAAAGGAAAAAAATAATCAGAAATGAAGGAATCACTCAAAGTGTTTAACAGCAGACAAGACACAGCAACTGGTATTCAAACACCAGCAGGGTCACCCATGGTGGACAGGTTTCAGCTGAGCTTCCAGACTATGACAGACTAGGAAGAAGGACCCGGCTGTCTACTTCTGAAAAGAATTAGGCAGTGAAAACTTTATGAATAGCAGCAGAAAACTGTCTGATATAGTGCCAGAAGATGAGCCCCTAGGGTTGGAAGGCACTCAAAAGACAACTGCAGAAGACCTGCCTCCTCAAAGCAGAGTTGATCTTAATGATGCAGATGGAGTCAAGCTTTCAAGACCTTCATTTGCTTATGTGGCATGACTCAAAAAGAGAAGAAACAGCTGCAAACATCCATTAATAACTGGAATGTGGAATTTACAAAGCATGAATCCAGGAAAATTGGAAGTCGTCATAAATGAAATGGAATACATAAACAATGATATCCTAGGCATTAGTGAGCTGAAATGGA